GGATCTTAGACCTACCGGGTGGATGCCGAAGTTGAACGCTCATTCGGTATTTTCGCAAGTCCAGAAAAAGCGAGAAGCAGATTCCCACGACATGGGAGAAAAGTCGTCTTGTTTCTAAGACCAGCTTCTTGGCTGACCGGAGAGACAACACATGACTTTTCTTGCACCAGCTTTTGATTTATAGCGCATGAAGCCGGATCGCTTGAAGCGGACCATGGATGTATTTTTGGGGTATTTTGAATACAGGCAACACCTCTTCATCATACCGTGCGACCATCTTTTTAGTTGGACAAGAGAGAGAAAGATTCTACAACTCCGTCAAAAAGATAGATGTTCTTATACCGGTATCCGTTACCAGCAGAATGCCGAACGTGTTGCGTATGCCTTGCATCTTGAACCAGGAATGCAGTTGCCAACGTCCCGCCAACATGAGTGCTGGTGCCAGTTCTTTTGATAGGTTTCGTGACTTGTGATACTCTTCGAAGAGTTTTTTTCGTCCGCCCGCTCGATTCCATCGGTCGCATATCGAACATGTTTTCGTGTTTGGCCCAGGCGAGGCGAGGCGACTGCACCCATGCTCTGTTTCGTCGCTATATTTTGTATGAGGCCACATCATCGTGACTGCGAAATGTAAGGAAGCAGGGAGAAGCAACGACCAGTTCTTTTTTTGCTGGTAGCTTTAGACAGACACGATGTCGATGCCATGGCGCATTTCTAATATCGTTTCGGGAAAGCGAATGGAGGAATAATCAACAACTCCAGCAGTCGTCGGAAGAGTCTAAGTGCCCGTTGCGCTATTCGGCGAGGTGAGGGTCATGGAGACCGTAGAAGAGATACCCGCCGCTCATGTTTTGTTGTGGTAGTTTTTTTGAGTTCGAATTCCCAAACGCTAACACCAGCACATGCAGCTGGCGTTCCGATGTTTCAAAGTCTCAACATGTGCGACCAGAACTCATTTTTGGGATAGCGCAGTTCAAAGTCGACATTTTGGCGGCGAAGGTGTTTTTAGGTAGATGTTCGTCGCTCGTGCGGGAGAAGCAGAGGTCAGCCAGAAAGTCGTTTTGATGAAGTTTCTCGGATAATGGTGTAGTTTTGAACCGAGACAGAGAACCAGAGGACATCAATCTCGTATGCAATTCTTTTTTGTGTGGTAAAGAATGTCTCGAAATTCTGGCAGGAGAAGACATGTGGTACTCGTGACCCTTTTTTGGGATAAAAGACCAGAGTTGGTCTCCAAGTCTACATGGAATCTTCAACCATGACTTTTTGGTAATAAAAGATGGAAACTTTTAGAGTGTATGAGGAAAAGAGAGCATAACCAGAAAGATGGTTTATATACACCAGTAGCGCGGACACTGAACCGCGGAACCCTGTACTGCTGACGATCATCATCATCACCACTGCAGCATTCACATACTCACTTGTGTGCACCAACGCACACAGCGCCACTCAACGATTCAGCCTCTCATTCCAACGAAGCCGTCCCAACAACTAGTATTCTATCAACAAAGCGCTCAAACACACCTTATCAATGCCATACAATCCCTTTTCCGTATCCTACGCTATCCAGCATCTACCCAAAAGAGCCTAGCCAATAGCAGTGGCATCCACTCAAATATCGTCGAGGTCCTCCTCCTCGGCTCTGCTCTTCTTGCCATCGCCATTCAGCCTGTCCATCCTGACGTCCTCGTGCCTCCTAGTCTCATTCATACCGCCGCTCATAGCCATAGCCTGGCGGCCAGTATCCGAGCTCTCGAGGAAAGCGCGAAGACGCTCCTTGCCGACTTCAAGACCTTGTGTGGAGGCGGCGTTGGCCATGCGTGCCATGGGGCCCCATAGGTTGAGGGTGTAGGTTACGTAGGCGCCGACGGCGAGGAGGATGAGGAAGATGAAGTATACTGGGTTGCGGAGGACTGGACATTGTTAGTAAGAGGGTGGTATCGGGAGGAAGGGCAGAGGCTTACCAGCTACGATCTCGTTCCAACCCAGCGCAAGGAGGAGACCGTAGAAGTACAACGGAACTTGTGTGATACCGCCAATCGCGCTACGCTTAGCTTCCACGTACACCCCATCTGCGGTCTTCTTGAAGCGGATCAGGAGATCGGCTTGCTTGGCGTCAGAGAGGATGGTCATCTCCTCTTCCAGGGTTTTGCCCTCTTCGTCGTCTAAGCCACCAATGGGGGTCAGATCGTCTTCATCCGCAGCGGTTGCTGACGCAGGAGCTTCGCCGATCCATGCATCGAGCGGTGGAGGGCTTGATGTCTTCGCCAGCTTGAAACGGGCAAGGAGTGGGATAACGGTGATCGTCGACTCGCGGGCCTTGGTGTAGACACCCTCGATGTCATCGGTGGGTCGCCATATTCTTGGGACGCCATGCTCGTCGTAGCGGAACTTGTCTTCGAAGTTTTCTCTCAGCTTCAAGAGAATGTTGCCCTCCATGACTTCTTCGTCAATCTTCGCGCGGAGCACAGCCCACGACTTCCGCCGTAACCTCCACAGACCGACCTCAACTTCTTCGGGGCTAGCATCGAAGCTGGATGCGCGGTCAGTGAATCGCTTCTCGGCGCTCGAAACAGTTTCGGTGAAGATAGTCCAGACACGGTCCCAGAGATCCTTCTCTGTTGGTGGTCGCTCGCCATGCTCAGGCGCGCCAGAACCGCCTCGACCGGATCCGAGCTTGTTGAACTCCAGACCGACAGACTCGTCTAGTCTTGATCGTACCCAGCGCTCGATTCGTGTGGCCAGACGCCTCATCTCCTCCTTGCGCAGACGGCCGGAGACGTCATCGAGATCCTTCTTGTAAATCTTCAACTCGTTCTCGTGACTGCTCCAGGCCGCGCCTTCAATGGCCATGGCCTTCGCACTCTCCTCGAACTTTGCAAGCGCCTGCTTCTTTTCTGAATCGACAATCTGTGCGAAGTCGTATGTGCCCTTCTTCTGACCGCTTTTCACCGCCGCGCTGACGGCTTCGCTGAAGGACTCCACTCCAGATTTGTGAGCAGCCGTGAGTTGCTTCTGGAACAGTGCCTTCAACCGTGTGTCCACCTTGGCCTCCAGTTCTGCCTGCTTCCGCTTGTAGACGCCCTTGTGGTATCGGCTCGCGTTCGTGTCGAAGTCTTTGAAGACCTTGGTTCGTGCAGCGCTCATGGCAGGGCCGAGGTCGGTGATGACAGAAAGCTGCCCGGTCCGAGCATGCTCGGCTTGTTGGTCCTCCAGTGGTGTAATCTTCTCGTCGAAAGCAACCAGGACCTCCCGTGAGATCTCGTCACAGCGGAACTGAGCCAACAGCTCTTGCTGTGTAGGCAGATCCAAGTCCTTGTTGTTGACAATCTGATCCCATACACCCTCCGCGTATGCCGAGAAACCGTCTGCGGGAATCCGTCGGTGGTATTGGGGCAGGAAGATGGGTGCTGTGGCCTCGTCGATGAGTCCGCTCTTCCTTGGGTCATTGTACCCTTCCTTGAACCGCCTGCTAAGCTGTGTGACTGCCTCCTCAAACTTCTCGGGTTGTAGGATCTTGTGTGGGAGGGCGACGAAGGCGAAGTCGAAGTAGTCTTCTATCCGCGAGTTCTCGAGGCCATTGGGTTTTGAGATGGTCGACCATAGTTTGGAGAGGTCTTGTATTAAGGTGTTCTGTAGGTTCTTGAGGGGTGTCGTGCCGAGGTGGTCGCGGATGACGAAGAATAAGAGGGATCTGGGGGTTGATCTAAGGAATTGTCAGCATGCGAAGGTCCAGGATAGTCGTAACACTTACTGGCTGTCCTTGACGAAGAGCTGTAGATTGACTTCGAACACAGTCTTGAGCAGGCCCATGTTGGCACCCTGGTACAGTCCGACTTGGTGTTCCCAGATGTTGACGATGAGGACCTCGCTCGTGGCAAGCGCGAACAGGGCGCTCTTGCGCTCAAAGTCCTGGTCCTCGCCTCGCTCTCTACCATCGGTACCTTCAACATCCATGACGAGGATGTTCTCAGCCATGTTGGAGCCGCCCTCCTCCCGCTTGTTCTTGCTCATCCAGATTCCCTTTGTTGTCTGGCGGCGCTCCTGCTCGGACATGACGCCGAACTGGGTGCCGAAGAGGTAGTTGAGCAGCGTCGACTTTCCGGTAGACTGCGAGCCAAAGACGGATATGAGGTGGTAGTTGAAGCCGGCGGGGATAACCTTCTCGATGTTGAGATATGTAGAGACGTTTGTGCTACATGGCGAGAACCCATTAGCCTACTGCCCCTCTGCCCAATTGCCTGCACGCGGAGAAGACATACTTGAACATCTTGTCCTCGTCGATGACCTGGATGCCATGTTCATAGGCGCTCTTGTCGACATTCTCGCCGACGCCGGCAAAGTGGGCGTTCATCATGAGCGAGGGGGACGTGTGGTGTTTGACGTTGCTGGGACGGCCCTGGCCATTCACTTTGAGGGAATCGTCGGCCATGATTGCTTGGTGTACAGTCCAGCCGAGAGCTGCACGTGGTGCGGGAAGAATAATGGCGTTGTTAGGGGTGAAAGCTGGCCGTTGATGTCACAGGCCGACCGCTTCTGGAGCGTCGACGCCCATTCGCCGCTGCACCCTGGCCCTGATCCTCGCTTAGCCCAGGCGGTGGTTGCTGCCGTACAGATGACGGTCGCCTGCATCATGCCCTCTGTTTGTATACAGGCTTTGAGACATCCATTCCTGCTGCCTCTCTCACGTGCTGTTGCCCCGAGGACGGCGATCTGAACCATGGTTGAGCGCGGTAGTGGGGATGCACGTTGCGATCGTGGGCAGGAACAAATCATCACGTCTTGGCATCGCTTTCACGGTACTATCACTGGGTCGCTTGACAGGACGTTCCTGAAGATAAACGTGTCCTTAGAACAGGTGCCGATAAGTTACCGAAATCTGGGAGATCGCTGTAAGGATCGCTCTAGATGTCTTCGCTCAACAGCGCGGGCGTTCTAGTAACAAGAATAATTCAACCCCCACTACGCGTGCTATGACACCGCCAACACCATCTCTAGTCTCAGAATTCCCTATGTCCCTTACCACCACTAACCATATCCCCACTGATCTTGCTAATTTCCTCGCTGTTCTTGACCCAAGCCTTCGTCGCATCCTCCCACACCCCATCTCCAAACTTGTTCTTGCACCACTCCAGCACCTTCTCCGCCTCACCTCTTATCCTCTTTTCAATGCCCTCCTCATCATCCGTTCTCTCACTCTTCTTCTTGCCTCGAAACTGCTCAACAGCGTCGATCAGACTCTTAGGCTCCTCATCGCCATAGACGAATTCGATCAGGGAAGACGAGATGGAAGAGTTGCTGCCAACTTGCTTCGCGACTTCAGCATCCAATTTCTGACCATCTTCTTTGTGTTTGGGTTGATAGCCTTCACATGCGTCTGCGACGTCGCTTATCCAGGCTCTTGCGTTGTTGAAGTCGCCCTCCGCGCGGTGCAGAATACCGTGTAGCAGCATCCCCTCCACAGCTGGCGGAGCCTGCATGTGCCGCACTAGAAAATGTGCAGATTCCAAGTCATGGTTGAGGATGTGTAGTAGTGCTTCGATGGTCGGGTGGACATGTAGGTCTGCGATTGTCGCCGTGAGTTGTGCATCTTGGGCCTTCTTGGGTGGGTGGACGAGATTGGTGTTGGGTATGAGCTTCTGTGATATCGTTTCCAGCGTCCGTGACACGTCTGATTGACTCATTTCTTCGTTTTACTTAGTACAATTGAAGCTGCTGGTGGAGACTGTATGTGGAAAGATGTTGCAATCTCAGTAATAGTCAGTCCAAAGATACCAGTACAAAACAGAAAGTCTCACAACATGTATGCACCTGCTAGCCTCGTCGCGAAAGCATGTGACGTGCTTGATGCACCAACTTGGGAGCGCAGACGTCATGATGGACCCTGAGAATCATACAGCCGACACGTGCGGGGTGGGAGAGTTTACAAAAAGAAATTTGATATAGCTCTGACATGTAAACGCGTAATTAGACAGCATTATGGCGTAATCAAATGTTGTAGCATAAGGATGTGGTTTTTGTAGATGCGCTAAACTGCGCTCATATGTACATACAACGCATTAAAATCCAGCTGCCTGAACACAACCTAGTCGTACAGACATAACAAGTACAAGGTCAGGGTCATAGAGTGTTTTGCATCCAAACGCCGGGAAATGAGATTGGAGACCATAGAAAGCTGAGACGAAGGCCGTATCGTGCGCGAATCGGACGGATGAAGGTTGAATCGGAGGTATTCGAGGTCGTGTGAGATAGTGTGGAACATTAGCTCAACCCACCCTTAAGCCTTGTTCTTGTTCTGCTCTTCTTCCTTCTCGGCCTTCTTCTCCTTCTTGTTAGCAGCATCAGCATGCTGCTTAGCCTTGTGCTCCTTGTCCGCAGCAGCAGCCTTGCGCTCCTTCTCGCGTTGCTCCTCAGCCTCTACCATTTCTGTATCATCAAGTCAGCTAGCTATTCCCACATCCAACTTCACGACTTTGACATACCTCTCCACTGGTCCTCTCCAGCATATCGCTCGTGGTGAATCTTCTTCTCGATAACATGCTTATGCTCGGGATCGTTCGGGTCGATAACCCTAATTGTCTCCCATCTTCCCTGACCCTTGGCCGCGTCCGCACCTTCAATCGCAAAACTGCCTAGCAGCGCTGCCAGTGTGCCACCCTGTGCGTACATACGCGCCTGCACTAGCTTTTGTGATCCGCTCAGGTATGGGTTGCGGTTGACCATGTGCCATGATCCAGCCATGGAGACGACCCAGAAACCAAAGAGAAGCGGGTATCGGTTTTCGGTCGCCCACGCTTTGGCGCGCTGAAGGGCGGTTTTGTTTTGCTCGTATAGTGCTTCGCGCTCCTTCTCGCGCTCGACTTGGCGCTTCTTCTCGGGTGTGTGTTCGATGTCGTATGCTGCGGAGGCTCGGTCGGCGGCGATGACGGCTATGGGGTAGCATTGTTAGCAATCGAACTCCGGGATTTCGCGATAGAGAGATACGTACCGATGAATGTTCCTGTTGAGGCGACAAGGAAAGCCCGGAAAGGAACTGTGAGCGCTCGGAAGGAGTGGTATCTTCTGCTCGCAGCCATGACACCTGCAGCACCTATCGCCGTACCAATGGCACCACCTATCGAGCCGCCCTTGATTGTGGCACTTGAAGCTGTCAGTACAAAGTTCCCATCGACGTTAGAGTGTAATACTCACTTGTAATGCGCCGCCTCCTCTTCCTTGGTAAGAACCTTCATCTTGTTTTAGGTAGAAACTGCTCCGATTCGGAATTTGGGTGTATGGTGGACGGTCGTGAGAATGTGGCGGCTGTTGAGAATCGTGCGCCAGGTATACGCTTAGTATTGGGAGTTTGGACGAGTATGTGTGTGGAGTCTGAATGGGTATACAAAATATGACGGCGCACGCGGCGACTTATTAAAAGATAACGCAATGCTCAAAACTCATGGTGACGTCGCCGAACTTCCGGCGCCGCTAGACCCACGTTGACATGTGCGGGCAGTGATGAGGTAAGGCCCTTTCGGCAGGCCGTGCCTAGCCCTGTGTTCCTCCAGGGCTGGGCCGATTATCGTGCGCTGAGAGATCAGGTCACCGATGCATGATCGAGTGAGTATACCTCGAGAGGACTTCTTTTGCTGTTCGTTACTTACAACTCTACGTTGGATGTAGGAACATTTAACTCGTTTCGGGATGCACTCCCAGCGAACCATGACTCCCTCCTCAAGATGCTCTGCCTCGCAACAATTCCATCAGAAATGCATCACCCATGCGCATTCACTACCCTGACACCTACATGCAGGCAGCCGCTAAGTAAAGCTCTGTAAGCTTGTGAGCAATGCATCCCCGGTTGGTTCCTGCTCGGCAAGTTCTCGCGTGTCGCATGCTCTTCGGATTCTGTGCCGAAGCGGCATCTCTTAGTTGCCGCTCGCCGCTCGCACTGTTCAGACTCAGCAGATATGCGGCCAACCTTCCCTCTCCTCTACATGAGGCTATGCGAGTCCCTCAGAACGTGATTCTCGATGAAACAGCTCGAAGTTTTCACCAACCCTGATTATCGTCTTCCCGACATGTGCAAGCTCTTTCCCGGCCATGCCCGAGTTGCCACCGAAGCCCGTACAAACTCCAGGGTTCACCGAGCGGCTCCGCACGTTGACATCCACGACAAGACGGGTAGCAACGTCTGTCTCTTATGTTCACTCATCAGTTCCCATCACTGCGGTAAAGCCACGAACTCTTCCCAACACATCAAAAGCAGTGATACATGCAATAGGGCATCATGTTTCTTATTTCCATCGAAGAATACATACATCCGATGACAGCATTATCGTAACCGTATTACCTCGTGATTAGTCTGCTTCCGAAAGAAGGATAAGTATGTAGGTACAATCCAGTTCATTGTTCACCATATCGTCTTCTTCAGCTTTTGCCTCCATAATCCTACTAAGTATCTCAGGCCGATGAAAGTGTTGGGATAAACAAGAAAGAACATGTCCGTGATAAGGCGTGTCCAGGAATCGATGCTTTTCCAACTGACTGTAGGAAATGCGTATTTTCGTTTTAAGCCAATGGTCTTCGACAATTTGTTCGACATTGATCTTAGCTTTTGGGCATATCCACGATACCTTCTTCGAGATCGAGCGAGCGGTGCACTGGTTGATAATACCCAACGATACGTATGTGGACAAAGACATGTACACGCGCAAATACGTCTTTAACGGAATGCGCCAAAACTGGGGCGCGGTGCGGGGTTGCCATAGCGGGGAAGCATGCCTGCCGGAGGTCCTGGGCGTGTCGCAAGGGCAGGGTTGCAGCAGAGCATGGCGACGCGAGAACCGTACTTGGAACCGCGGAGAGAGACCATGTGCTTACGGATGTGGCCGCCAACGAGCTCGCGATGCTGGGTGCCACTGTTGGTCAAGACATACTGGATGAGATAGTTGCCGAACTGGTCACCAGCGACTTTGACAAGGTTAGCTATAGCCCGCGGATCAGGGGTGCTTTAAACTTACTATCAATAAGAGGCATGCGTGGACGATCGGGGCGAGCTTCGCATACGCGGTCCAAGTACCGGTCCAGGAACTCGTTGCCACCAATCTTCAGGCACTTCTCGATGACCTTGGACGCATACTGGTCCATGCTGTACTCTGTACTGAAGCGGAGGATGTGATCGACAGCACGGCTACGATCAGCGGGCGCACCATGCTCGCAAATATGCTGGATGCACCAGTTGCCGAATTGACCGTGGGCGATGACATCTATGCTGGCGAGCACCTCGTTGATGCAGGGACGCTAATGCCAGTTAGTATGAAGGAATTGGTCGGTGGAGTCTTCGCATACCTTGTCCTCCTCAAGGCAGTTCTCGAAGATGTTCTGTACGACCAGGCTGCCCGTCTCACCCAATGCAACTTCGTGCCACATGCCTCGTAGAGCTTCGTTGACGTAGCGCATGATCTGGGGTGGAGAGTCGCTCCAACGGAGCTCAAAGAGCTTCTGCCAGACGTGGCAAGCGTAGCGGTGGATGACAGTCTCTGGGATGCGACGAAGCAGCTCGTGCACCATAGTCGCTTTATACTCTTCCGGGACGCAGTCGAAGGCCTTCTGGATAACATGGCAGCCAAAAGCGTCCATGCTCAAGGCGAGAGTATTGCCGCGAATGGCTTGGGCGATCGCGATGACTTGATCGTGCGTACCATGCTCAAAGCAACGCTGTACAAGAAAGTTGCCGAAGCGGTTGACCATCAATGCATAAGCTTGGGAGATGATTGCCTCCACAATCTCATACTTCTGTTCAGGTGTGCCTACTTTGAGCTTCTGCTGAAGGAAGATGGAAGCCTGCTGGTCGTTGTTGCAGATGATCTTATCGACGATGTACTTCCAGTTGCAGCTCATGTTTCGGTCCAACAGGCGACGATAGTTCATGGGTTCAACAGGGGGCACGTACTGTGAAGTACCCGCCTCACTCGGAGCCTATGTCTTGTCAGTGAAAGTCCGGGTTCTGCATGCAGTAGTGGCATCTTACCTGAGAGTTCCATGGAGACGGTCCCATGCCATTGGCCACGTTGAACTCGTTTGCATCTGGCGACAATCTGCTGGCCATTGTACCAATCGGAGCCGGGTGGCCTATCGGATACATGGGCGGCATAGCGTACTGATTGTAACTCGGATCGAAGGCCGAACTAGGGCGGCTAGGTGGATTACTCAGTCCATTTCCCATGCCCATGTTCATACCGTTGAAGTTGTTATTCATGGGGTTAGGCATGCCACTACCCATACCGGCATTGAAGCCGTTGGAAATCCCGCTGCTGCGGAAGCTCTGGTCGAGAGGGAAATGAGTGGGCTCGTTCAAGAAGCCATTGCGACGATAGCCGGACTGAGCGGGTTGTGGACGGGCCTGAGGCTGGGGCTGAGGCTGCACCTGGGGCTGGTATGAGTTGCCGAAGCTGTTGTTGCTGGTATAGGCTGGGCGAGCAGGCTCATTGCCCCAACCGTAGTTGCTCCGAGTGGAAGCATTGAATTTGTTCTGCAAACTGGTGAGAGTCTGCTCAGTGACATCACCCGGGTAGCTATAATCAGCCTCTGACGATTGACTCAGGTGCTCCATGGTCGACCGGGCCACATGATGGCTGTGCATTTCCTGGTTGACGCGGTTGACTTCGTTGCGGGCCTCTTGTAGTTCTAGCTTAAGCTTTTG